TCTTCCCCTCAAGCAGAGGCAGCTGCAGGGGAGCAGGCAGGGAGGAGCAGAAGCTGCAGCTCCAACTCTGACCATAAGCCTGATCCCGGGTTGGGGCTGGAGTCAGAGCTGCAGCAGCTGTTTGCCCCAGCTCGTACTCAAATCCAAGACAAGGGGTTTCCCTGCCATCATAAGTGAAGGGAAAAAAACCCTCCTCTTAGATTCAAGTGAATTCTTTTCCAATAATTGATGTACTCTTGCCATGTATCATAGGGGCCACATAGCAATGTATATTAAAGTAAGCCCTCAGCATTTTAATCTAAGAATTGATGGTGATTTGTTCCTCCCTTTGCACTGCAAGTAGTTGGAGACCAACTGGAAGGGGCTAGAATGCTGAGGCTTGGGCCCCCTCTGCACGTTTCACTTAAGGTGTGATTAACCAGATAATCACATCTTCAGTTGTGACCAATGACATGTTCAACTAATTAATGGTGTGATAAAACAAGCAATAAACTACATATTGTCTATGGAATAACTTTGTAGCTTATTGCTTGTTTTATCATGCTATTAATTAGTTGAATGTTACACATTTTTTGTGTAATAACTTTGTAGCTTGTTCTAATTGTACCATTAATTTAGCATGTGGCCAAATACTCCCCTGTGGCTGGGAGCCCTGTCAACTGAGGGGCTCCCAACCACAGGGTTGTGTTACCAGACTTAATATTAGACTTTAGGTAGTGGCACTGAATTCATAAATGCTTGAACAAGAATAGTCCATTCTCTGAAGTGAACATTTACTGAACACATCAATTTGCAACTTAAAGCACACGACAGAGAACAACAGAAAAACTTAACCTAAGTTAAGACGCAGCCCAGTAAGACAGTGACAGCACACACAACTTAGTCCAACTTAAAATTCAATATAATAAATCAAAAAGACAAGAAAGTCTTGCATAAGTCTTATGTAATCCTAAGGGCAGAGTGTCTCCTTAAAGCCAGGTATTCAGAAAGTCCTTCTGGGGGATCTGCAGATTGTCTTAGGCAATGGAGTGGAGATCCTACAGGCCTCATCTCTGCTTAGGGTTTTTATAGGCGAACCTGCATCTCCTCCTCCTCCTCCTCCCCCTTGGGTGCTTGACCATAGCGTGTTTTTCACATACCTCGTGTATAGCATGTCCCTCATGACTTTTATGCATTCAGGGCACCTAAACACATGATGGACCTCTGCTCCAACATGTGCTAATTAGCATGCATCAGAGCAGACACAATTAATCAAGACTTCTGGAGCGTGCTAATTAGTGCACTCCAGCTTCCTCCACGTCATGTGTATTCAGCATCCCCACATTTCAAAATGGCAGTGGAGGGTTTTAAATAAAGCTTTTCAAATAAGTTTTAGTTAAAGCATCCCTGCTGCCATTTTGAAGCCCAGGCTGCTGAATACATGTGATGCTGCAGGCGCTTTAATTAAAGAGGCCCCTCCTCTACCCTGGAGCATATGTATAGATGCCGTCAGTGTCTTTTATCAGGTATTCTGGTCTCATCTCTTATGGGTTTGGCTTTGAAATGTAAATGTGGTTCTCTGCTTTCTTTGGTCGCACCAGCCCAAGCAGGAGCCCTCTCCTGCTCCCTTAGGTCTGTCTCCAGCACACACACATGATGACTGTGCCAGGTCTTTGCCAACAGGTGCATCACCCGCTGCCAGCCCCACAGCTGACAAGGCTTGCAGTGGTGGCAGTGTTGTCAACAGTGGGGCTTGCAGAAGAGAGAACACTGCCTCCCATGAGCCTCCCTGGCGGTGCAGCTCACAACAGGGGGAGAGCTTTTGGCTGCAGAGCTTGCAGCAGGGAGAACCTTGCCCCCACTGCAAGCCTCATGAGGTGCAGTTCTTGCAGCAACACTTTCCCATAGGTGTGTGGCATGACAGGAGGTGCAATTGTATGGATCGTGCGTTGGATCCCATTGCGCCTTTACCTGCATGTGTAGAGGGGCACTTGGGGTCAAACTGTATGATTCCTTTTGTTTAACCCATTGTCTGAATCCTGAGCCAACCAGTGCTTGAGGGCTGGATATAGCTGTGGGTGGAAAGCACTTCAAAGATTTAAAGATTACTTGGCATTGTGTCGTTATAGGACATTTAATTCCCAGATATTGACTGAAGAAAAAATGCTGCTGACAATGCATAGGGCCAAGCTATTTGTGGATGTGATGGAGGACAGATTTCTTCAGTAAATAATTATCAAACTGGCAAGACATAATGCTATTTTAAATTTGGTTTGGGCAAGTACTGAGGATATTATAGAGGAGTTGACTGTAAGAAATAATCTTGGATTGAATGATTGTGAGTTGATTCAATTAAAAGGGCAGGATAAACAAAAACAGTTCAATAACTAGTCTTTTAATTTCAAAAGAACAGACCCTGAGTAATTATGGAAATACAATTGGATTAAAGAGCATAGGGATTTAAAAGGAAGCTTGGAATTTCTCTAAGTCAAAGGTACCAATACTATTGGAATTCTTTATCCCTAGCAAGACAAGGGAAGGGCTTCTGACTTAACAGAATCAATAACTACATCTAAAAGGGTATGAAAAACAAACCAGAAAAAAAGAAACGGATTACTAAAGAAAGCTAGGTTTTGGTGTCACAGAGCTTGGACAGACTGAGAGTTGCCACCATTTCAGCCAAGTTGGGCTTTGCAGAAGAAAAGAAATGGAACCACTATATAGTGAAGATTATTAAAAAAACCCCAAAAACATAATGAATGCTTTTCTTCTGTGTTCTGTAATGATGATGATGGAGAACATCTAGAACAGGGATGCTGTCCAAGTTCTTGAGTGGCCAGGCATGGCATGCTTTGTGGGTTGCATGGCGCAGGGGTGGACCCTCCCTTGCTGTGAAGTCCCCTTCCTTTCCCATCATGCTGGCAGGAGCAAAAATGCAGCTACCACAACCACCACTCCCCAGGTCCCCACTGCACTGCCTTGCCCCCACAGGCAGGGGCATGAAGATGAAGATGGAGAAGGGAGAGTGAGCCCAGAGACCCTGGCTGTTTCAAGAGCAGTAGGGGAGCAGCAGCAGGGCAGGAGGCCACAGACTCATTATAGGCTGGATGTAGCCCATGGGCCACCATTTGGACAGCCCTGATTAGGCAGAATGGTAGGTAGGGATAAAGGTGTAGAAATGGACAGGCACATTGAATGTTGACTCCCAGAGTCATTCTCGGAACCAAAAAAGCTTCAGAGAGCCAGTCCTACCAAAATGAAATGCTCCCAACCATAAATATATACATTTTAATAGCAAATTTAATTTTGAAATGCAGATAAGATATAAATGGCCAAACAGCAGAGGCAAGGCATATCAAGCAAACAATTGAAATGTGCACTCAACTAAAGAATTAACAATCTCATTTATATTTGTGAGAATTGAAAATTAATATAAATTCTAAAGTCTTTCAAAATCTCTCAGAGGTAGCCAGCTAGTTAGGGGAAGGGTCTTCCTACCTAGGTTTCAAATTAAATTTTAAAAGGGCACTTTATGTAAGGTCATGTACAGATGAGCTGTGCTGTAAGAACTGGAGTTCAAGGCTGAAGAAAAAAGATTCCAAGGTAGACCCAGAGTTTATATACTCTGTTACTTGACTCATTATCAAAAAAAGCTTACAAAATAACATTTTAAAAAAATATCCCTAACAAGTTCTACTGTAATTTTCAGATCTCTATTTTACCCTCTCTTTAAGCTATATCTTGTCATAAACCAGATCAAACTGACATGAAGCTACTAAATGCACTCCAAATAATCTTTAGCATACTTCTGACATTTCTCACATTTCCTAAAATTGCTTGCTTGTTTCCTTTTGCTTCTTTTTCTCTTGCCCAAACTTTGGTCAAACAAATGCAAGAAAATGCTGTACCATATGGCCCTAAGCTGTTCAACGGCATACTATAATCTGTATGAGGGAGAAGCAAAACTTGTATCTGAATGCGCTCAATTTGCTGAGGAGGTTGAAATTGATAAGCATCCTCGCAAGGCATAGAAGACGGGCAAATTAAAACTTTGGTCAGGTAGCAAAGACTATTAACAAATCTATCAAGTTGGAGTGGATACTGCTTTTCTAGGGAATAGGAAACATGGAACATGTATTAATGATTGGGTGTGCATGGAGGGAAGGTGATCCAAGCAACTACAGACCTGCTGATTGACTGGAAAAAAATACAGGGTTTTAAGTACAGTTTTAAAATAAAAAATAATTAAAGAAATGGAGGTAAATGGAAAATGGGGATAAATTCATTTGGGTTTACCAAAGATAGATTATGCTACATTAGCTTTGCATCGTTCTTGAACTAATCAATTTTTAGACAAGTAGAGCTAATCTCTCTGGACTTTATTAAAGCATTTGATATAATACCATGTGGGAATTTTAGTTAATCAGAAGATCAGATTTGTACAAAAATAGAAAGGGAGGTATAGGACTGGTAAAAGAGGAGGAATCAATAGTTTATACTGAACGGAGAACTGTCAGGCTGATTACTAGTGGAGTTCCTCAAATTCTGTTCCTGGGATATATCTTATGTAGTGTTTTCTTTTTGACATAACATATTCTTTTTGGTAGGCCAAACAGGAAGAATACGATGACTTAGAGGACTGGAACAATAGAGTTCGGGATGAAATATAGCAGTACAAGGTGTAAAGTTCTGTACATTGGGCCGAATAACATCAGATGGGAATGATATCAGAAAAGAAGACCTGGTTATGTTAATCAATAATGCAACCAAAAGGTAAATGTAATTCTATGATGTATTGGATAAAGGTTTCTAGCAGGAAAAAAGAAAGAATTAATGTAATTATACATTGCTGAGACTGCATTAGGTGTACTGTCACCCAGTACAATTCTAGTCACCCATTTAAAAGAAAGATCAACTCAAACTGGTATGTAGACTTTCTCTGTACCTGGACTCTACATTTTTCAGTCATTCTTACAAGATCTTAGGAGCTTAGCCTATTACTAGGTTGTTAGGCAGCCTAAGAAAAACAAAAGCTGAGAGGGGATTTGAATTGGTTTCTGTAAATATATTGGGGATTTGGGGAGTGTGAAATGCAAGGGAGGCAGAAGAGCTGTTTAAGGCAAAAGTTAATATTGGAACCAGAAGAGTTGGTCTTAAACTGGCCGTTAATAAGCACAGGCTGGAAATTAAACTAAGCAAATGTCTTGCTATTAGAGCAGTTATGTTCTGTGAAGGCCTTTAGTAGGAGTACTTGAGACAAACAAACTAGCTAATCTAAAAGTGGGTCTTGCCAAATATATAAAGCTATATGGTGTGTTTGCCTATGACAGTAGGGGACTGAACTTGATGACCCAGAAGATGCCTTCCAGTCATACATCTTTACATTGTACAAAGTCTTTCTTTTTAATGGGATACATGTCCATTTTACCATACTTCATTATCATATATCATGTAGGTCTTTCTATATACTGTATGAGTTTTTCCTTATAGTATATGTTTAGATTTTATTATTGTATGCATGTCTCTAGATTTTATGACACTTAAACTCAGTACTTCAATGAATGGTTCAAGACTCGATTGATGATTGTAGCATTGCCATCAACAATTTATTTAACAAACAATAATGAGTACACCTCATTGAATACTGTGAGCAGTAAACACATTTATTGAACATTTATAAAGCTGGGCAAAATTTCAATGCTATTGAACTGTCAAAAGATCAGACTTGTCTGTAAGAAACAGTTCATCTTCCAAGGTCGTGTGCTCTAGGTGTGCTGTTTGTTGTTCCATCATCCTCAGCAACTGTATCTATAATATGCTACTCATCTCTGTCATTTTGTCTGTTTCCTCATGGTCATGCTGGTGTGATGAAGAGAAAAAGAGGAGTGAGAAAAGAATACTGCTAGAATTGTAGTCCCCATGCCAAAAATGATGAAATGTCACTTTGATTTTTAAAATTCTGTTCCCATAAGCTCTTCCCAGTCCTACATCTTGAAAATGGCAAGACATTTTCAGTTTACTCTGATTGTGTAGGACCTGTCAGTCTGACAGTAGGGTGGAAGTTTGGAGAGAGGTTTGATTAAATGCCAAATTGGCTGTGGGTAGGGGGAAGGGGGAGAATAGTTAAAGAGAGTGCTAATAATTCTCCATTCCAGTTCTGCAAGCTGTGTTTTGATTCGGTTTCAGATTTGGCCATTTCGGAGGACAGTGATTTGTTTTGGTGTTTCGGATCACTGTCCTGTTTTGTTTCAGCCAAATCTGTTTCGAACAGACTGCAAGGGAAGCTTCACACAGCCCTACCCAGCTGGGTGGGGCTTGGGGTCGGGGGCTGCAGGGCACCAGTGGGGAGCAGGAGGGGGCCGTGGGTGGCCACTGCCTTCTGTGCAAGTGAGGAGACTCCCGCATGGATCTCTCATCATGCTGGGTTGTGGGGCAGGGAAACACCACAGAGTGGTGAGCAAGCCTGCTGGTCCCTGCTGTGCAACTCGACTCTGCAGGGAGCAGAGGTCTGTGCTGGGATCTCCTTGCTGCCACTGCCTGCCCCATGCTGCACCAGTGATGTGGGGCTGCGCAGGGCAGGTAGCAGTGGTGAGGAGACCCTGGCGTGGATCTCTGCTCCCTGCAGAGGCAGGGCAGTGCTGGTCCCTGCTCCACAACCTAGCTCCACAGGGAGCAGAGATCTGGGGCTGCAAAGGGTGGGCAGCAGCAGGGAGGAGACCTTGGCATGGATCTCTGCTCCCTGAAGAGTCAGGTTGCATGGCAGGGATTCCCAATGCCCAGATCAATTTCTTTCCCCTCAACCCCCGGTTCCATTCTCCAGCTCTCTGATCATTTCCCCCAGCTCTCCCCAGGGGGTGTGGGCCCTCAGGATCTGCATGCACGGTTTCAACAGGCTGCCCCTGATGCTGCTGGTCCCAGCCTGCAGCAGCAGCCTGCTGAAACCCTGCACACAGATTGGTAGCCTGCACTCCCTGGGAAGAGCTGGGGAAGCGATCAGAAAGCTGGGGAATTGAACTGGGAGCTAGATGTCAATATCAGTCTTCCCCCCCCCCTTCCTCTTAGTTTCTGTTTCCCTGCAAGCCTGGCTCCAAAACTCCAAAATTCTCTGAAACATTTCTGAAACATTTTGGAGTCTTCTGATTCATTTCAGAGCCTTCCATTCGATTTAGATTTGGTGTTTCAGGCTCCAAAACAGCCTGAAACACCTCCAAAATGAAACAGCTGCTAAAATTTCATGCTGCCCTTCCTGGCATATACCCAAAAGGCAGAGAAGGATTCTGTGGAAAATGCAGTGGGTTAAATGGGAGGATGCACCGCACCAAGCTACTTTTTTGTCAGGATGGTGCCCCAAGAACAGGTGCAGGAATAAAAGAGATAGATAGCAAGCTATATGGGCAGTGGCAAGAGAGCTGCACTGCCATATGGCTTCCATGCCAAATTAAGCCAAAGGAAGTGCTTTAAGTTCTCACTTGAAGATCAGCATAAAATGCACAGCAAAATAGTATAATTCAGCATCCCTAGGGGAGAGGAGGAGGAGAGTGAATGCATTAGAGTGCCTTAAAATAACTTTCTTTTAAGAAATGTCTGTAGTATGAGTTGGACAACTTACCTTCGAGCTTTGGTTCAAAGCTGAGGGTATTAATGAAACTTTGATCCAGAAAAAAGAGGGAGAGAGAGAATCTGGTGGGTATTTTTTCTTTTCCGTATATTTGCTGCTATAGTAAAAGTCCCCGCCCTTCAGATAATTTCCTTTTTAATCCATGTGGAGCCACTATCCTAAAGAAAGGCAGGTCTCAACCAGGGGAGGGTGGGAGAATGATGAGCACTCTGATATTAGCGATGGTGTGTTAGACCAGTTTAAGTGGTGGGTGTATGCTTGCATACAAAGGATGGGGAGGTGGAAGGAGAAAATTTGTATACTCTTCAGTGCTGTCACCATTTTGAGTAATATCTAGGAGAAGTTTATACCTGCCGGGCGGGGGGGAGGGGACTGCAATGATGGGGATCACTTAATACAGCTCCCCTATGCTCTGGCCTGATATACTACTGGGTGCTCAGAGCCAGAGCTGACCCGAGCAGGGTGCAGGGCCCGGAGTAAATCAGCCCATGTGAGGCCCCACCCCTGCTTCGATCCCACGGGCCCCAGACTTGAGGAAGCTGCCACCACCATCAGCAGTGGCAGGAGGAGGGGTAGTGAGCAGCTGGACATGGAGCCACCACTCTGCCCAGCCCTGTGCCGCCACTGCTCCACCCCGCTCCATGGGACCCCTCAATGTGAGGGGCCCAGGGCAGTCATCCTGATTTGCCCCCCCCCCCCCCCCCGGGATGGCCCTGCTCAAAGTGTCCTGCCCTGAGGTGGACTTCCCACTTCTTTCGTGCCATGTCTTGCTTGTCCAAAGGTGGAAATAGAAAGGGAGATTCCTCTAAATAGGGTGACTTTCCACCCTTGGGTAGGTTTGGTCCCAAAGCGGATGACTTGAGGCTCTGCCTCCCCTATGCCCCTCCACTCACCAACTGGAGCTGACCACAGCCACGGTGATGTAATGGGCTATTGCAGATTGGTTTGCTTGTTCAATAAACTGCCTGAAGTACAACATTTACATCCAAGGAGCTTTAAGGTCCATGTTGCATGGGTGCTTACCCTGGGCACACTTTAACTAAACTTTTTCCCTCAGTAGGGTTGAAACAATCCAGCCAGGGACCCTCCCATGTTGGCTGTCTCGCAACATAAATGAAAATCAACTGTCCTTTTAGGCCGAGCTGCAATGGGCCGTATCGGGGTCCTCCTGCATTGGCTCTCACTTTAATTTAAACCAAAACAAGTTAAGCCTTGGAGCACTTCAGTTGTGGTGCTTCATGGGGTGAAGGGACTCACATCTCCAGCATCCCGGCTCAGTCCTGGGGCAGGGTCCACCAGTCGTCTGGACTTCTCGTGGTCCCTGTCTTCAGAGGTAAGAACCCCTCCGGGTTCTCTCCGATCTGGCTCAGAGGCAAATATCTGGCATCCGCGTTGTGCCAGGCTGGATCTGCAGGGGAGCTCCCTGCTGCCACTCCTTCCTGGTCAGCTGCATTCACGTCACTCCCAGCACGCTCTCCCATGCATAGAGAGCGCTTTTAAAATGGAATGGCAGAGATGTATATGCCTCCGCTTCTGGGGCTCAGCTGCCTGCAGGTAAGTTGAGCCGTCCCTCAGCCCTTTCTCGGCTCCAATCCCCTGTCGACTGAGGGCTGTTGGTGGGATATGCATCCTGTCCCTGGATATGCATCCTGTCCGTGGCCACCTGGGGGCCATGTTGCCCTGTGTGGTGACACAGTTTAAGAACTAAAAAAGTAGAGAGAGAGAGTAGATCAACATAGTGGCACCTGAAATAAGTCATTTAACCACAGAGGGCAATGAAGTCTAGGACCTCAGTATGGGACTACCTTGAAATATGCCATCAGGTATGACTGCTCAATAATCAGGAATAGGACAGAGGTAGTTTATGCAAACTTGCCATGAACTGAAATCATGATGAACTGCTCTTAACAATATAGCAGCCTTTAAATCAGAAAGTGGCACCTGGGCTATGGACAGAAGTTACACAAACCAGTATAAGCAGTTGGAAAATGGCTCAAATCTGTAACACAATAGACATTTAGTGCACATGAATCACTTTCAAAATGGCTGAAACCTGTTGAAGATAAACCTGGATGAATGTAGTATCAGACTTAACTGATTTAAATTAAATCAGTTTATTGAAATTTTGTCCCAGATCTCCTCCAGATGATTTAAG